TTTTTACTTAGCACGGCAGACAAGCAGCTGACAGGGTTGTTCAGTCGATGATATTTTTCGAATCCAGCTTTTAATGCTCCTGCCCGTCGTAAAGCGTCCGGTTTTTATAAATTAAATGGTTGACTATAGTCGAATAGGTACGCATCCTCCCATTGCGACGTTATGAATTCCCACTCAAGTTTTATTTTTTTAAGGTAAATTCACCAACAGCTTTTCTTGAAAAAGCTGTGAATTTTCTTTGCTCATGCAAAAATATTCACAGGAAATTCTAAGGAAATATTCTGATTGGTTTTCTCTTAGAAAAATAAAACGTAGTATGAGATTTTGAAGTATCGCATTACGGATACGTATTTTGTGACTTTAGCCGTCGCTTTATTAATTCTTGTCAGTTGTGGAGCCCAAGTAAATGTTTCGTTTTAGGTTGTCTATAAAATAATGAGGGCATTTCGATGAATACCTCATAATGTAAGATCCATTTACTTTTGATCCCCAAGTTTTGAAATCCTCCCATTGTGCGACACTCAGTGCCTAGGGGACTAAACCACAATCAAAAAGAAGCGCTCTCAAGCTAAAAGGGTGTTTCTTTTTTGCAGTGTGAAGGACGATTGTGAGTGGATGGAAAGTTTAGGTTTAAAAGGGCGATGAAAGAAGCAAAAAGGGCTGTATTATAGTCATCCCTAGCTGAGGGTAGACTCGCTGCCTAATTAAGCCGCACGGAAGACTTGCGCAAGTGAAAGCCAATGTCGTCTTAAGTTTCAAAGGACAACAACGAAAACAGCCCTCTACCTCATTGCATTTGTGATAAGTATTACCCTCCTGCACATTTCGAGAATAGGTTCACTGGAAAAAAAGAACACATTGGATCTAGAGTCCAAACTCTTGAAAACATTGACAAGAATAAATACTCTTGATTCAATCAGATTTTTGCTTCAATCTAAAGGAAATCCGCTCAAATTAAGAGGCTTGGTTCTTGATTCAAGCAAAAATGATTGAATCAAGAGTATTTTTTCTTGTCGATGTTTTTAAGAGTCTGGACTCTAGATCCAATGTGGTTTTTTTTTCCAGTGTTGTTAGGGATTGTTAGGAATAGGTGTTTGTGGGTTAGCAATTAAAAACTGCAATAAACTTTTTTTTCGTCAAAATTTCTTTTGAAATACATAAGACATGTTTAAACGATTCAGAATCCACTCATGAGCATCAAAGTAGCGTCAACATTAGAATCAGTCAACCACCATTTATTATCACGCGGGGGCTTTACTACCCCCCCCCCCCCCCCNCCCCCCCCCCGATTTATCCGTATAACTTAACGTTTTCCGGGACTCATATGGATATACAATAGACACGCCCTCACGTCAGGAGAAAGACAAAGAGCTTTCTTAAAATTTTCCAGCCCTATCCGCAGTGATTGTTCATTTTTCCTTTTAAAAAGTTTTTCAACTTCTGATTTGCGTTGCACATAGAAAAGCATTCTTGATGGCATGTGGGAGTCTCGTCTATCGGGTTGCTTTCATCTGGTCGGTGAAATTCCTAAGTTTATCACCTTTGTTCATTTGTCCAGTCATCCTGGCAATCAACCTCCTTGCGAGATTCTTGGAGCCATTAAGCTATTAATTACTCCGAAAACTGTAATACCCAGAAATGCAATATTTAACTACTTCGCCTCATACCTGATCGCGCATTGTTTTATCGTTGCCTCATAGAAATGTCTCTAAATAGCATTTTTAGAGTTAATTCCTACCGAAAAGGTATTCGGCCTTCAGTTTTACTCCAGTCTTAATCGCTTTATGAATCATTTGAAACATTAAACAACAGAGGAATCGTCGTAATAAACTTAGCGTTCGTTTTGAACATAAATCATGGGGATCCTATCCTTTCTTATGTCGTTTGATTCCGATTCGCGCGTTTTATCAAATGGTCCAGAAACTTTAAAGGCAAATACTCGTGTTCATTTCTCCGCAAATATTGGATCCTTAAATCATAGCAAGTTTCCCCTGGAATAATCGTAAATCTTAATTTTTTTTCACCGCTCCTTAATTTTATGGCGCTGTGACGTCCTTAATAATTTTCGAAACTTGGATAAATTAACGACATTCTTGCTCACAGCACAAAGGAGACGCCTTGAGTACTCAAAAAAAGGGCCCTTATTACTTTCTGATGATTCATCACGCTTCATACAGTTTGAAAATTACGCCCCTCAGGTCCACCTTTGTACAATTATGACGGGACATTATCATTGCAAGCTTTTTTCTTAGCACTTTATCAACGTACAATTTTTTATTGAAAAACATGATTTTTGTGTATGTAACTAAAGAAAAACTACAATTTTTGGATTGACATTAATTTATCCTCTCAAGATGTATTGCTTGTGTGATCCAGAATGACTGTTCTTTGAAGTATTTAAAGCAGTTTCAACTAAAAATCGCACTAAACTATATTTTCAACTAAAAATGTCACCTCTGCACTTGTTCGGTTTGCTGTGGCATGTCATCGATTGAAAATTATAGAAAACAGGGCCGGTTTTAAAATGTATTCAATGAGACTGAACTCATAAGCGTGCTCACATATTGACATTTTTAGCGTGGTACATTCTTGTAGGGCGCGCTAAAAAGTAATCATGACAATGGACTCGGATCCCTCTGATTAAATCAGAACTTATGTGTATATTGTGTAGCGTTCGGATGTAGTTTCTAATCAGTGGCATGGCATGCTTTCCGATATATATAGATCGATTTGTCATTTAAACCTATGGAGGAGGATCGATAAACAGGGTGTTCGCAACGAACACCTCAATAATCGATTCTTTGCCATAGCTTCAAACGGGAAAATATCGATAATCGATCATTCACGTGTCACCATATTTCTTACGTGGCAACTCCCTATTCTCTTCGGCGGTCGGTCTCGAGTTATCAAGGAATTTGTTCCTGCCACGGCAAGAGGAAAAAAGGAAGTTTTCAGATAAAGAGGGACCGTGTAAAGAGGCTTTTTGCCTCCTTTCATACTTGGGAATCATGTCGCTATGTATTAAAAGACTTTTCGATGAATATACAGGGTGCTTGAACGAGCAGTTGTAGTCCTTCATCTGCGCGCACGAAAGTTGAAAGTGTCAATACCTTCTCCATTTTCGTGTCTTCTTCTTTGGTCATACTCACGCTTTATCAATTCGTTTAGACTCTGGAATGGAAATTCTTACCGTCCAATGGTATAGAGAGAAATGAATTTTTCCGTAAACGACGACTCTTATCATTGCAAAAGCAAAACCATCCTGATTGTGACCTCTCAAAATAGCGTTATTTCATTTACTTGGAAGGAGCTAAATCACCCTACTCTCTCTCTTTTTCAAGGGATTCTTAAGTAATAAATAACCTATACTTAAAATTTTGCGAATCAATAATGATTTGTTTTTCTTGATTATAAAATGTCAAGAAAGAGTGAAGGAGAGTTTACTCCCGAGGCCAACGTACATTGAGATACCGAGCTGCCGAAAATACTGGTTTTACTTTTAATTCTCATTCATAAATGTAACGATTGCGCCTGGAAACGCATAGCAACTACTCCAAAAAAATCACTATTGGAAATAATCCGAACGAAATACGGCGAATTATCACATATTCGCCTTATCGTAGAGAACGGTAAATCTTCGCTTTTGGATGCTTCCCGCTTCAATTTCGTCTTTTCTGAAGAAATTTTTAGGAGAATATCTCTCCAAAATTTTTAACAGTGTACTTTTAGACCACCGACGTACATTGGATCGAATCAATAGGAAAGGTCGGACAAAATTTGGAAACTTTAAAAGCCTATAACTCTGTTTATACAAAACTGTGAGGTCCTAAAGGTGGTTTTATTGGTATCCTCGTGAAATTTTCCCCCAGAATTACTCCTCAAAATTTAAAATGTAACGAAATAAACATAAAAATATGCATTTTAGTCAAATATGTTATGTTCGACCTCTTTGGTTGACTCGATCCATCGTGCGCCGTCGATATCATACATTGGAAAAAAAAAACCACATTGGATCTGGAGTCTAGACTCTTGAAAACATTGACAAGAAAATGGACTCTTTATTCAATCAAATTTAAGCTTAAATCAAAAGGAAATTCGCTCAAATTAAGAGGCTTGGTTCTTGATTTAAGCTTAAATCTGATTGAATCAAGAGTATTTTTTCTTGTTGATGAGTCTTTTAAGAGTCTGGACTCTAGATCCAATGTATTTTTTTTCCAGTGTAGAGGGAAATTCGCATTTGAAATTATGCGCAACACTCCGTAGAAGCTCCTTGAAGATGAGGAACACTCATAATTTCCGAACGGCTCGTTCTGGGGCTTGGTAACCGATCACTTTGTGTCGGGAGGGAGTTTTCTGCTAAGCCTCTTTGCCAATTTCTTTGTGGGAGGAATCGGCTTGGGCCTCTCTGAGGGTATCTCGAGTGTGAAATCTTGCGGGCTCTTAAATTGGGTTTCCATCGACTTTCCGGCTCCGAGCTGCCGATCCCGAAGGAGCCAGATCAAAAGCTGAGTGTAATTCCCCTCAACGACGCCATGCCACTGCTCCTGTTGCATATTCCTTGCCTTTCACTTCGACTTTTTCAAGTAGGTACTCTCATCTATGGAGGCCATTCAATTCAAGGGGCCGATGTAGGTACCTCTAATGCTAGCTTTTCTCATTACTCATCCAACAAATCCTACTTTATTTGTACAAAATCATTAGAGTAACGCCTAACGCATAACATCTAAGGTGCTAAGCGCTATAAAGGTTCATTTCCCGTACTAACCAAATTTTTTTGTTGAAACTTCGCTGTGTGTAGAAAATGGGACTAACACTTTCTAAGCTAGCGCTGCCTTTAGAATTAACAACTCTCCTTCTATAAATACGTTGTAACCCTGTTGTTGTTTTCATGTTACCTACTAACCAATTGTTTCCTTGTCGACTGTCAATCGTATTTGTCTCATCTGCTTCTTGTCCTCTAATCTGGGACCTGTTTTTTTTCCTAACGCTTACCCACACAGACGGAGAGGATGAAAATGAGGATGAAAATGAAATTATGCTCATGAGTGGCGGTGAGTTTTATACACATCATTATTCGTGTCGTTTGCCAAGTTTTTTTTCACTCTAAAGTTTCTTTTTTCTTTCCCTCTCCTTCATTTACTTTTCTCATTTTTTTTGTGAATGACAGTGTTACTAGTCATAGAAATGGTAGTCTTAATAATGATAGTTTTAGTAGCTGTATGTTTTCTCTGTTGTTCATTGTGTTGTGATATTTTCTCAGGAATTATCTCTTCTCATCTCTCTTTCCTATTTCTGTGCCTACCACTTGCTATCCTTCCACGATATTATTGGCATATTACTCTCAATTTATTGTATTCCAAGACTGCTTATGCTTATGATCTCTGTTATAATTTTTTACATGAATTCTGCTTTAGTTTTCAGCTCGTGCTAAGTTTTCATTTTTCCCCCTCCCCTTGTTTTTCAAGGAACTGCTATTAATTATTTGCCCAAAAAATAAAGTTTTTTTTCTTTAAATTTAAACCTAATATCCCGGCTCTTCTGCTTAAACCTTACGGTGGCAATATTTTTAGCTACTCATCGCCAATCAATCCAAACTCATCACGCACTCCATCAAATTTTTGACAGAATATTGTTACCCCCTCTACATAATACGCGAGGTGTACACGGCCGGGAGTTTTGAAATTCATTGAGGCAAGCGCAGCACATCAATAAAAAGATTCTCTGAAGAGGTCAACAAGGACTAATATTTGACCTTTCGATGCAGGCGGTTTTTTTACCGTCCCGTATTGCCTTTCCTCCGATAATTCATCGCCCCTCTGATGTAAAGCCGTATCCCAATTTCCAAGTGAGTCGTATTTGACATATAAACCAATGCTTTCTCAGGCTCATCTGGAAATCGAGATACGCCCTTACGTCAGAGGAGCGACGAGTTTTGCGATTGGTGGTGAGCAAGTTCCGGCTAAAAACGACAACGGTGCTGAATGAGTGAAACAGGGACGTATTTCTGTCAAACGGAACTGTGTGCATTATGACGTGATCCCTGTTATGCATGTATCCTTACGGGTCTCAGGGCTCATGACTTAATGCACATAATTCCGTTTGGCAGAAAAACGTCCACATGGTAATATGTTAAGGCAAATATCGCGATTCACGGTGCCGCGTTGAGATCAGTATGTTACCACACCGAAAAAAAATTGAAGTTAATTTAACATTCTGGATGTAAAAAAAGTGTGCGAGAACTTACAATATGCTAAAATACCTGCCACAGCAGTTACTTCAGCAATGCCAAGATGTAAAATTTAGTGCTGTGGCGGGTAATTCAGCATTTATAAGTTCTCGCACACTTTTTTTACATTCAGAATGTTGATTTAACTTCCCTTTTTTTTCGGTGATGATAGGATCACCATGGCAGAGGACTTTTATATTGGTCTCTTTGATCAAGCTGCTACCATGTTGATCCTATGTTGACAAAATATTGACATTGTAGTTATCAACAAGGGTGATTTCTGCTTATCATCCGTCCCTGTTGTATCAAACTCTCAGGGATAACGTTTTTCTCGACATTTGGCGTCAGTGGTGACGACCCCGCCCCCCGCCTCCTAGTATCCATGTGCCCATCATGATCGACTCTGACCTTTGGTTGAACTGGCACTGAGGATGTTTGCGCCCCGGATAATTAATTTGAATAAGCTCCGCTCGAAATTAAGTTTCATTTGCACGGGGAAAAATGATTAATTGCTCTCATCATCGTTTGCGGAGAGAGCTCATTTTGGAGTTTGAAATCAAGATGAGTTCCCTCTTTTTACGCTCGAAATTGCCGAGGGGTCTTATCAACGTCCGTCGGAAGACAAGTTTACCAGATTTTTCAGATTTTTTGACCTTTGAGGTAAACTCATGCATGGCTACAGTTATGCAGTTCGTATGCACGCGTTATTACTGCGCACTGCGCAGTATTTAAGTTCACAGTCAGAGATGGAAAGTGAAATTTCAAAAGGCTCGAATAATTGACAAATCTGAAATGTATTAATTTTTATCGGTATTATTAATTGAACCTTTGGAAGTCCGGACAACGTTTCAGATGGTCTTCCTATTGATTCGGCAGAATCATGCCACCGCATTGAGGTGCCATACATGAAGGGGGCACGACAGGGAGTTTAGAGAAAAATTCAGCCCCAACCTAACCTCTGAACCAAATGAATATTCATTTGCAACACGTGATCACCCTAGGCTTGGGGTGAAAAATGTCAAAATCGAAAATCACGGTTTCTAGTCGTTCATTGGCCACCTGTAAGCACCCCCAATAGCTCCACAAAATTTCATCACATTTCCTGAAATTTTTTATCTCTGGTTACAGCACGTATATTCACACGTACTTTCCACGCTATATAACACGACAATCTGTCGAGTTTTTTTCTTCTTCTTTTTTACAAGGAATTTTATTTCCTACAAGTATTTCCTTGTATCTATCCGCATGATTTAAAATTAAAACTAAACGAATTGCATTAAATTTACAGAGTATCATTAGATAATATTAATGTTCAATGATTATTCTGTCGAGTATGTAAGAGATTTTAATGATAAATATTTCGTATCTCTCGCTGAAATCCGTCACTCTTCTTATAATCGATGGCTGAATAACAAGTAAAGTTTCAGCGTTAACCGCTAGACCTAATGATGACCGTCGCCGTAATATCGCACTCAACAACACCTTCGAAAGCGTTAAAAAAAATTGAAAAGTTTTCTCTCGCCAGGCATGGCTTGTACTAACAGTTTCGTTTTCATTAGCGTTATTACTTATCTCCCGTTTAGTTCGCAAGAACTGCAGTTTGTCCGAAACTTTCGCTCTCAATAGCCAGACGCGAGCGATACTCTCACTCGAGTAGAGTTTGAACTTGTTCCGTAGTAAGAGCTCTTTGTAATGACCCCAACTTTATAACAACCCTCAATTTATAGCCCAACACCCAGCTCGCTCTTCATCGCGGGTTGGTGTACATCTTTTTTTTAGTTCCTCGTCTCCACGGCTTCCTCCAAAATCGAGCGTCTGAGTCCTCTGAAAAAATCCTTGATAGTTAGTAGCACTGTTTTTCCTGCTTTTCAAGGAATTATTAAGTGTCGATCCTAAAAGAATGGTTTTGCGGATTCTTCCGCTTTTTTCAGTGAATTTCCTGTGTAGTACGAAGCAAATTCCTCAAAAATGTCAAAGGAATCCGCCAAAACGTTCTCTTGAAAACATAAAATTGCTCTATTAAATTTGGCAATAGCTGATGTGGCTTGGTTCCTTTCTGCTTAACGCAGTCCAATTTCTATTAGGCTCGTCGAAAGGGGCGTCAAATCTTTTTGTTTCTTTAATATTTTAATATTTGAGGAATTTTTATGTCTTTCTATCTATTACCCTCTGTTGCATCCTGTTTTCCCGTACTTTACACTGTATATATAGAAAGCGCAAAAGACAAAGGCGCGGGCGTGACTTGCTCTGGTCATATGTTCGCCTTCACTGTGCGTGGATAGGCAATTTCTCGACTTAGGAGCATGTAGATTTGTATTCTGTTTTCCGCATTTTTTCTGCCGTATGTGTTCAGACCGGTCTTGAAGGTAATATGGCACCATACTGCCGTGCCAAGGAAGAACGCCGTATCAGCGTTCGAATGTTGCCAAATTTCCTCCGAGAAAGTATTTATTTTTGAAATAAGTTATGAATGTTTGAGAGACTTTGAGAACAAGGCGCATAAATGCAGTTTTTGAAAAAATTGAGGTTTCAACAGTTTCAAGTAGCACTAGTCTTGATGCATATTCCGTGAAAAATCAGCTCCTAAATTCCAATTTTGAAGAATAGACGCCAGCTCGAACTTTTTCCCTACCATGAAGATCCATTTTATTTCGAAACTTCAAACACACATTTCTCGAGGTAGCAAAAACTGAACGCATGCGTCTTGCCCTTCAAGCCCCTCGTTTTTTCTTGAAATTTTTAGACACTTTAGATCAAATTACGAAAAAAATTCTCTGAAATTCAAAAGTAAGGTACTTAATCAAATAATTCCCTAAAAATTCGTGATTTTTCAAAGGAAATTTGGCAACGTCTGAATGCTTATACGGCGTTCTTCCATAGCATGGTTGCAGTGAAAGACAGGAGCATTTAGTTTGTTTATTCGTCGTACCCGTCAGAGCCCATCACGAATAGTGCGGAGCAATCGTTTAAAATTATTCGCCTCCCTGAAGATACCCCCCGATTCAAGGGCCTTAATTGCGGGCCCAAAACACGCGGCAACGCCATAAAAAGTTACCGAGGCCATTATTCCCGAAACAAGGTGCACCCGCAACCCCCGCCCCCACCCGAATCTCCGACCCCTGGGCAGTTATCAACACTTAGGGTCTCCTTCAATCACCCTTTGCGGAGGAGGGCAGTTCAGAACTTTCGTGGATCGTGAGGAATTGAATTTCGCTTCGAAATTCTTGGTACGCACAATATCCTCCAACTCTTGAGCGTTTGCGTTAATTGCAGCCTCGAGTCGCGCGTGGATGGATTTTAAAGTCGGAAGCGCGTTGAACTAGGGTCAAAACGTCGCTCCTCTGACGTAAGGGCGTATCTCAATTTTAACATGAGCCCCAGAATGCATGGAGTTATTCGGAAAACAGGGCTCACGTGGAAATCTAGATACGCTCTTACGTCAGAGGAGCGACGAAAATTGAAGCCTGCGGCGAGAGGAAGGACTGGTGAACTGTAAGTATGATTGAGTTGCATTCACTCTCGATATTATTAGTCGTGGCATGGTTGCAGGCGACTGAGCGTGATCAATGTTGTTTCTGAAGTATTTCAAATTGAACTTCGTAAAATTTCAGTGAAACGTCTTTTGAAATCCTACGAGCCCGTGAAATATTTGAAAACTTTTGTATTTATTTTTACGGGCTGACTATGTAGTTTGCACTAAAGTGCAAATATGCGATAACGAATTTAACATAATGTCCATGAAACTTAATATTTCATCGAGTCAACTCGTCAGATTTGGAAATTTCAAGGGTGGCTAATTAAAGGATGACGACTCACAAAAAATAT